CTGTGGATGCAGAGGACTGGCCAGGGGACTTGAGCCCTGTGGATCTGGTGTCTCTGGGGGAACTAGAACCAAACTGTGGCAGATACTGACTGGGGTCAACTTATTATGGTTTGACTGTACCAAAAGCAAGACACTTCAGGAGAAACCATACTCAGAGGACCCATGCAGCCATACTGTTTTTCACCTTCAGTGAATTCTAGAAATTACTTGAAATATTTCACACCTTATTATAAAATAGGTTTTGTATTAGATGATTTTGCCCAACTGTGGGCTAATGTAAGTGTTCTGAGCACATTTAAGGTGGGCAAGGCAGAGCTGTGATGTGTGATAGGTTAGGTGAATTAAATGCATTTCCTACTTACAATATTTTCAACTTGCGATGGATTTATCAGCACCCATGGTAGGTCAGGGAATAGCTGTGTTTATCTCAGTAGGCTCTTGGGCAGTCACACCTGCCATCTGATGGTCCCTCGTACCAAATCCATCTTTGCCTCCTGCAGCCTGGCCTCACACACCCCTTCCTGGGTGAAGCGTGATGGGCGCCTTGCCCAGTGTGGACACAACTAAGTGGCTTGTAGAACAGACTCGCAAAGCCTCTCAGATGATGACCTCCATAACCCCACAGATGGTTTCTTTTTCATTATTCCATGAGCTTTCCTGTGTGTCCTCCAGGCAGCAGACTTGCAGCTCACACAGCCCGCGGGGCAGTCGGACCCCAGACCCTGCTCTGCGGCCTGTCCTTCCTCCTTGTCTCTCCGGGGCCTCCTCTCACGAGTCACCGCTCACCTGCAGCGCTGCACCCCCAAGCCCACTGTGCCTTCTCCTGAGCTGTAGCCTTCTGCGTGCACGCTCACTAGACACTGGGTTTAAGAGTTCCATCATCTTTGTTCCCCTGGGTAGGTGCCTAGTAATGGGATCGGAGGGTCAAATGGAAGGTCTACTTTCAGATCTTTGAGGGTTCTCCACATCACACCACCACCTGGTGTTTTGGGGTTTTGTGATGTGGGCTGATCTTGCTGGGGTTAGGTGATACGGTTTATTGTAGTTCAATTCATAATTGCCAAGTCATGGAAGCAACCTAAGTGCCCATCAACCCATGAATGGATCAACAAACTGTGGAATATGAGTACAATGGAATATTATTCAACCATTGAAAAAGATGGAAACTACATCTTTGCATTTACCTGGATGGAGTAGAAATACATTGTTCTTAGTAAAGTATCTCAAGAATGGAAAAATATCCAGTGTCCTCCATACTAATAAGAGACTAATATATAAATAATCATATGCTTATAAGCACAATAAAGCAGTGTTATAGTGCAGTTCGGGGGTAGAGGGCAGCGGGAGGGGCTGGGGGAGGAAGTACAGGGGGTGGGGGCAGGAGGCAGGACCTCACCTAAAGTGCACAGGTGAGGGTGTCTAACACGCCCCCAGGGTGAGGGGCTCTTCTACAAATGGAACTTTATCCTGGAAGTAAAAACAATGTAACCTAAATATTGTATCCTCATATTAATTTGAATAAAGTTAAAAAAAAAGAAATAAAAGGAAAAAATTTCCATCATCTTCTGTAACCTTTTAAAATCATCACCAACGCAGCCCATCCTGCCTGGGCAGTGGCACAGCCGCCCTCCCACTCAGATTCCGACTCCAGTGTGTTGCTGGTGAGGTGGCTTCTCTGTCTTGCATCCCCCTGCCCCCAACGTCTGACTGGTGGCCCCATCACACCAACCCTGTCCTTGCCCACCCGTAGCCTTCCTCCTCTACAGCCCTGAGCACCCGGGCCCACCCTGCTGATGTGGCTCTGGACTGCTCCTTTCCTCCAGATTTCCCCAGCCAGGTCAGTCCGAACACTGCCACTAGATTGCTTTTTCAAAATGTATTCCTCTGTTTAGAAGCATCTTGCTGCCCCAACTTGCCTGGAACTAAGATCTGACCCCTGTGACTTGATATCCCAGGCTTGCTGCCTCTGCGACCCAGCCCCTCATCGTGGGTCCCCGAGCCTGGCACAGTAAATATCTGTCTCACAGCTGTCCCCTCCACACCCGCAGCACACCTCTGCCCAGCCTGGCCCTCTGCCCTCTGCCCTGCTCAGGCCACCTGCCACCAAGCTCAATGCTGAGTGGCTGGTATTGTTAAAATGTCTGATCTTTAGCAGACTACAGCTTTTATAAAATTCAGTGTAATTAATAAGTATGAGAAAAAGAAAAACTTAGGCCCAGTACAAGCCCCTCCTGTGCTGTCACTGCATTTGGGGCCACCGTCCTCAGATTGCCGTGTGCCACCTTCTCTGCTTCGTCCTCACAGGCTTGTCCTGGACCACTTAGGGCGACACCCGTCCACTGTCCTCTTTGAAATAAGAGGAAATGAACTGCTGACCCTCTAAAATGTCTAGACCTGGAGCCGGCCAGCATTTTCAGTAAAAATCACAGTGAATATTTTAGGCCTTCTGCCCACAGGGGCTCTGTCACAACTGCTCAGCCTACTGAGACCGCACATGTCCGTGGTGGCACCTTCAACAGTACACACATAAACATGTGAGGCTGGGCTCCAGCAGGCTGTGTGGACAGAAGTGGGAAGGGGTGGACTTGGCCCTCAGGCTGTGCACAGACTGCCGGAGCCTGGCCTGGGCATGGGATGCCCTCCTGACTACTCCACTCACATCTCCTTGAGTGCCACCCATCACTGCCGGGGCACAGTGCCTGCAGACTATTGTGACTGTGCTCTCAGAAGCCTGCAGAGGCCAGCACAGCTCTGGCTCCCCTGCCCCCTGCAGCCCCTCGTCCCACTGTGTCCCTCAGGCCATGCAGCCCTTCCTCTGTGCACTGCCCTCCCCGCCCCCCAGCCTGCTCACACGGTGTGCACTCTCTTCTAGGTTTCTGCTCCCCCTCATCCCTGGATGACTCACTGCCTGAGGGACACATACCCAGCCTCTGTGTTCAGACAGGATGCACCAGCAGGCGAGGCCAGGGAGGAGCCATCATTAATGGCCCCTGGGTACAGGGTCTGCCCAGATGCATATAGAGGGCTGCTCACCCTTGGCAGAGCTTGGTTCCATCATGCTTGTTCATATCTGCAATTTGAAGAGAATATACATAGTTGTCTGCTTCGTTTAAACTAGAGAAGGCATTTGGAGATAGTTCCAGTAAATTATCTTAACTAGTCTAAAAATATTTCTGAACTGTCAAGCAGAACACAGGAATCCTGTATTACTTGAAACTGTTTTGCCATAATTTGGACAGGTAGGGGGATGGCACCAGCTTCATCTTCACAGGTGACCAGAGCTGCTCAGCTGTGGATAAATGGCTGTGCAGCAGCTGGTGAGGGCGGGCGCGGCTGTAGTGCAGGAGGCATCACGTGGTAGGGCAGCGCCAGCTGCAGGGACCTGTGTGCGTCACCTGTGTGCAGCTTCCTCATGGCCCGAGACAAAGCAGACCGCAAGACACCGACTAAGAAATCGCATTCGAGTCACCCTGGCAGTATTCGCAGTGTGCCAGCCAGTGCTCTGGAGCTGTGCTCCTCGTCAGGCCGTGGCAGGTATAGCACGAGAGAGAACGATGAGAGAAAGCTGGGAGTTCACCCTGCAGCAGGACGCCGACATGCACCCGTCAGAATGACCAAAGCCAGAACCTTGGCACTGAAGCCGACTTTTGTATGGGTGTGAGTGTTCAGTTTACTTAGGCCAGGTATTAGGAGTACAGAGCAATACTGGAATTGCTTCATTGTGTGTAAGAGAGTGTTGAGTTTTATAAGAAACTGCCAGATGGTCTTCCAAAGTTGCTGCACCACCGTTTTGCATTCCCGCCAGCACCAAGGAGCAGTTCCTACTGCCCACACCTCTGCTCCCTCCCAGGGAGTGAGAAGATTGGGCTCGCCCCCTCCCCAGGGATCAGAAGGAAGGACAGCAGAGCTCTGGCAGTGTCACGTGGAGAATCTTCACTAACAGAGGCCCATGTTCTCTGTGTCCTTGCTTGCCATGAGGAGACGGCAGAGGGAGGAGTGCACACGGGAGTTAGCGTACCTCTGGAGGCCTGAGACGTGCTCTGATGCACATTTTTAAGTATGGAAACTCCCAAACTTATTGCTAAAGAAGCACTTGGCTAGGCACAAAACTACTTCATCAATCCTTGAGAAACACCTGTTTAACATCTGTCTTCCTTGCTACATGGCTGTCGAGTCTGGGACATGGCGTTCATTCATGCACACTCTGCACCCAGCAACCCCGCCTTGAAGCCTGTGTGTTGGCCGCCTGCGTGCTGGGCACGTCAGCAGCACGCACAGGTGGCGCCTGTGGTGTTCAGAAAGGCACCCTGAGCATCCACTGTGAGCCCTTACAGGGTCTAACACTCTTTCCGGTGATGTGTGTTTCCCACTCACTCCCTGGGGCACCAGGGCAGAGATCAGGATGGGAGGGTCCGACTGAGCACACGGCACCAGCCAGCCCAGGTTGAAGCTCCAGCATGAAGTGACTTGAAGAAGCCTGTGTGTCAACCACTGGCCTGTGACAAGTGGCTTTAGCACAGTTCTTTTTTTTATGTTCATATTGGTAAGTTAGGATTACATTGAACATAAAACCACTTACAGTCACATGCAGATCTTACAGACACCAGAAAATATATCTAACATATAGCATGAAATTAAATTATTGACTTTAAATTGACAGAAACCATGTTGAGTAGTCTTGATAAAAAGGAGACTGGTCCCAGACTAGAGTCTGGGGGAGCTTTCCAGTACAAAGTCTGCTGTCTGTGGGTATTAGGTGTGAATGGTTCTCGGATGGGACCGTCTCCCGCTGCCTCCCGATGGCCCTCCTGCTGCCTCGTTACGGTGCAGTGTGGACACAGGCTCTGCCCTCTGCTGGCCGCTGACCACCCTTGCCTCAGTTTCTGATGGCTGGATAGAACTTTGACTGTGCATCCTGCCTGTCCTGCCTGTGTGTCTGGACACGCATCCCTCCTTGTCCTGCGTGTGTGTCTGACCACACATCCCATTGTATCTTGCAGAGCTGCCGAAACTGGAGAGCAGCAGTGGACCTCTGCGGGCGCCTCCTCACAGCCCACGGCCAGGGCTATGGCAAGAGCGGGCTGCCCACCAGCCACACCACAGATTCACTGCAGGTGAGACACCTTTTGGTTATCGTACTTTTATTTGGTTTACAATAGTTTGGGAACGGAAGAGACCCTGGCCTTTCATGCCAATAAAAATAATTTGAGAACAAAAAAGAGACAAAGTCCCACTATGTCACCCTGGGTAGAGTGCTGTGGCGCCACAGCTAACAGCAACCTCAAACTCTTGGGCTTAAGCGATTCTCTTGCCTCAGCCTCCCAAGTAGCTGGAATTACAGGCGCCCACCACAATGCTGTTACGTTGTTATTGTTGCTTAGCTGGCCCAGGCTGGGTTCGAACCGGCCAGTCTTAGTATATGTGGCCGGCGCCGTAGCCACTGTGCAGTGGGCACTGAGCCAAGTACGTTTCATATCCTGAGCTTAATCTCAGTATGAAGTTACCCTGCTTCTCCCTTTCTTAATTATGCCGTTTCTCTTACACCCATGGGAACTGGGATTCTCACTCCACACTGTCATGCCAGAAGTTCGCTGCGGGGTACTCAGCAAGATGGGGTGTGGCTGAGGTTGGGAGGTGGTTCCCTGTCTAGTTGAGAGCGACAACTGGCACAGGCCCCCTGGTGTGTCTGGGCCTGGGGGAAAGCAGTGACATGGGTGGTGCTATCTGCACCTGGTCCTGTGCCCTGGCTTTGCTCCTCCTGGTATAATAATGTCACTTGCTCTAAAAATTACAAAATAAGGAACACATAAAACAGAATTATGAACAAAGGAAACTTCTGATGAGAAGGAACAACTACAAAAGTTTATAAATGCTTACTTTTTTCTGGGGAGGTTGTTTTGGCCATTGCTCTACCTGACATGGGACTCCCGAGAAGTAAACAGATCCCAGACTCCAAAACCGTGAAGAGCTTCTGACAGGGATGAGTCTGGGAGAGCTGCTGGTACAGTTATTTCAAACAGGCTCCTTTTTCTGCAGTGTCTTCCCCAAAAAGTGGACGGAGCACAGGAAG